AATTTATAATACATTCTATATAGTAAAGTCAAAATTTTATTAAGTAAATTAATTATGTCTATTAAGTGAAAATTGTTTAGAAGATCAAATTACATATAGAAATTTTTATATAATTGTGATAATTTTTATTATTTGATATTTAATTTTTATTGTTATAAAATAAAAATTTATAAAAAATTTTAATCAATTTTTTTAACATAAATTGCAAAAACATATTAATAAAAAATTAGCCAAATTATATAAAAATTTCAAGATATATATATCTTGATCTTCTGAACAATTTTTATTTAATAGACAGAATCGATTTACTTAGTAAAATTTTGACTTTACTATATACAAACAAAAGTGCCAAACAGAAAATACAAAAACTACTTTTTTGATATTTTTAATATAAAATGTATCAAAAATAAAATTTTAGTTATCAAAGGACGTAGAAGTATAAGTCTGTCACTTCGTTCCAGACAAAAATACTTGCAAAATTTGAACTTATAAAAATGCACGGTGATTGTAAAAATAATTAAAATCTAATTTTTTTAAAAAATTTGAATTGTTTAAAAAAATAAATTATAAAAAATTTATTACATAAAAATAAATTTAAAAAAATAATAAAAATAAATCAAAAAATAGCTCAGAATCTATTTTATTTGATATAAAACTTATAAATTACTAAAATTTAAAAATTTAAATATATAGAAAAATTAATTTTTAACTTGAATATAAAATGCTTAATGAAACAGCCTATAACAATCAAATTAAAAAAACTGATTAGATAGATTTAGGCCGTTCTCAAATGCTTAATTAATGAGTTAGCTGACAATTTGATTGGTCGAAAAAATTAATTTAGGTCAAAAAACCTGGAGCTGCAATACCAATTTTTTCACAGAGCTGCGCTGATTGGTTAAAATTTGTCATTGACAGAGTAATCAAAAAGATTGCTCTATCTCAAATACATTCATTTTATTGTTAGTATTTTTTTCATAACATGGATTCCCAACAAGACCGGCATCGCTGCTAAAAATTATTATCCTACTCTTCATTCTAAAAATTCTTATAAGAAATAAAAGATATTCAGAGTTAATGTTCAAAGAATAAAAAATTATTTTTTATATGTCATATATATATTTTATTAAAATAACATTCATGCTTCACTATATTTCGATATCGCTTCGTTTACGTTAACGAATCCATATAAAGTTGTTGCCGTAATGACTTGTAGTCGGATATGGTGCTGTTGCAATGAAAATTATTTGCGAATTTGTTAAGAGGACGGCTGGAGGCAAGTTTCAAACGCCAAAGTCTGAATGCTAAATTTTTAGGTAAATGGGTAAATGCCTTTTTTTTCTTGAAGCCATAATGGAAATCGGAGAAAAAGATAGCTAAAGCACCAGTTGCAATATTTATTTCAATTGATCGTAGCGTTTGAGCGTCACCTCGATCACTAGCTAATTGCATTGAGGGAGGCGTTTGAGAACGGCCTTAATAACCTTAATACGGTAATGGTTTATAACTCTGATTAAACTGAATTTTAAATTTTCATTTATATAGTCAAGGTATAAGTTTTATATAAAATGATTTTAAAGTTTTAAATTTAGCTGAGAAATTTAAATTCCAACCTAAATATAGTCTAACAAAATTTGCAAGATATCTTTATTTAGAACATTGAAGGTAGGTTTAAATATATATTAAATATATATGAAAATATTATTTATTAAAATTCAGAGTGGTATTTAGTGGTATAACTGATGAAAATTAGCGAAAGTCAAACTGTTAAATTTTGAATGATTTTGTTTGTAAATTATCAAAGCTAAACTTTATCATACTGTTTTATAGGAGAAAAACAAGATGACAATTTAAAATTTATCATTGGTTACAATAGAACCTCTAGGTCCGGTTTAGACTAAACCAGATTTGTGCAGAATTAAATTCAAACTTGAACCATGAATTTTAAAATTTTAGACCAAATTTGAATTAAAATATAAGGTTACCAAATCTAAATTAGACTAAGACATGAATATGAGTTCAGTTTTGGGTTAAGTTATATATGATCTTGAAATTTGATTTGACAGATAGCAAAATTTTTTAGATTGATATTGCAGTTATGCCAGAAGTTAGACCTGTCTAAAGTTGTAGCTTCAGGTATTTGAAGTTGCACTTGATTGAAATTAGTTTCTGAAATTAGATCATCTTGCACACGTTAGCTAGCAATTTTAGGCGATGAACTTCGGATGCTTGAAGTTGCAACTTGTGGTGCTAAATTCAGGTATAATATTCTATTCAGATTAAAATTTAGTGTACCGTAATTCTCGAAATAACAGGCATCTGTGTATTATTTCTATGGGCGTTATTTTGAAATAATATTTTTTTCTTACCTTTAATCAATATGAATAAATAGTAAATATTCACAAACTTGAAGCGCTTATTTTAAATACTTAGACTAATAAGTCTCTTTCTACTCATTTCTTGGATTAATAAAAACAAACCAGAATTAAATATTAAATATTTATGAATTTGAATATGGTCAAATTTATTTCTCGCCCAGGTTTAATTTTACCTATTATAATAAAATTTGAAAAAAATACTAATATCACTGATATAACCCATCGTTTAGCATAACAAAATTCTTTTTCCTTACCCCAACCCCAACCTTAACATATTAATATGGTCTGGGTTTCATTTTGTATTTAAGGAGTGAGTAATTTACTTAGGTGTTAAATAAATTATTTCTTTGAATAATTTATTTTTAATAATTAAAATAAATTATTTCTTTGAATAATTTATTTTTAATGATTATTAATATGGGAATAAAATAAAATTAGATACGTAGTAAAAATTCATGACTTGAATCACTTATTTAAATAATTAGATTAATAAATGTTTTTTACACCATTAAATTTCATTCTATTTAGTTAATTTTGGAAATAAGTATGAAGAGAATTGTATTTAAAAAAAGCAATTCAGATTTGTAAATATTCATTATTTAATTTCATTTATTCGTATTAAATCGGGGAATGACTACAATGAGTATTTATTAATTTAAGTGTTTAAAATAAGTCATTCAAATTCATAAATATATATTGTTTAATTTAATCTTATTTTTATTAATTTAAGGAATGTATAAATTTCAAATATACTTAAATTCAATTCTTACTTATAATGTAGAGTATTTATTGGTTCAAGTATGTATTCAAAATAAATGATTAAAATTTATAAATCTCGGTATTTACTATTAATTTGAAGTACAAGGAGCATTTGTCTAAATATTTAGATAAGTAATTCAAATTCATGAACATTTACTATTGCATTCCAACCTTTTGAGTTAATTTCAAAGTATAAAGAAAGTTTATTAAGACTTGAAATAAATGATTCAAGTTTTTTATGAATATTTTTATTCACGATAATTTGGGAGATGAGTATAAAGAGCATTTATTTATTTAACTATTTCAAATAAGCGATTCAAGCGACTCAAATTTATGGATAATTTCATGTTATTCACATTAGTTTAGATGAATATAAAAAGGTATTTATTAGGTATTTAAAGCTATTTATGATGAATCTTAAATCACTTAGGTTGCAATTCTAAGAAAATGTTTATTGTAACGGCAACGAAGATAACGATAACACGAATAAAGGATGATCAGGCATAGAAAGATTAGAGATTGAAATCAATGAGTTTTGAGCATTGATTGATCACAAACTTTAGATTTACGAGCATCGGTAAAAAATTTGACCAATGTTCGAATATTCATCGAACTTTTAAGAATACATAAAAGAAATTATTTAATATTAAATTTTTTTTAATTGTACTTTGTATTATTATCACTACATTACTTAATATTCAATTTACATGACTTAAAATTCGCTAATTTACATTAATTCTAAATATCAGGAATAATAAATAATATTCATATTTCTTTTGCATTCGAAAACAAGCGATCACTTGGTATGCTTGTTGCAGGAATTGCAAAAAATTTATAAGCAATATAAATAAGCCACTTTCAGTTTTTTCACATGGTAATTACGAATGCAGGATCCAGAATCAAAGTGTTGCCAAATCCAGAAATCCGGGATCGTTTTTTAGACACATCATGTATTTCTAATTTTGTTTTTAGAACTATCGATAACAAACTTCTCTATATTGGATTTTGGTTATTCACAAACCGAAATATTAATGCAATTAGATTCGTCCTCTTCATTATTAAGAGAGAACATTAACAGAAGATACAAGGTTTGAATAATTATTCACCGATCCCATTCTCTAGACTAGAGATTAATATCAACTTACAAAAGAGATTACCGGAGAAATGAAAATGTATGTTATCGGGCAAATAATTTAGAAATAACCCTAATTTGATATTATCAAATAAACAATAGATATCTGGATTGTGTTTTTTTGGACGGGTCCAAGTTTTTCTAACGCATATTTACCATTGATTACTGCAACAGTACCTGGGGTCTTATTCAAGAACTTTATTTTTTAAATTGAAATGGTACTACAGTATGTGAAGAACCAATACGTACGTACGTATTATATCATATAAACGTTATAAACTTGATATTGTACCCGATTATTTTTAGGGGATACTATATGTTTAAAAAAAAACATAAATCTATGTATAGAAAGTGCTTACGTAAGTACTACGTACCTACTTTTTCTATATTTATGCTTGCCTTTTTTTATATTTGACATTAACCATTAACGTTAAACTAAATTTAGCATTAAGTGTCTAATAGCCAAAGTGGCTTGCACGTACTAAGAGATCTTCGAGATACCGATACGCAAAAATTCAAGATATTACGATGAATAGAAAATCATCACCGAAGAGTTATATGAGGCTGTGTTATCTACTATAAATCGTGACATTTACTGGTAAAAAGCAAAAATGTGCCACAATTTTTTTTTTCTATAGATTAAAAATACATAAAATACATCGAAAGAATTTCATTTTTTCATAAAATCGCCAATCACACAAAAAGAAGAAAGGACTTTTCATTACATTAAAATGTCTAGTACTTCCGATAAACCATTTACCGATACACAAATAATCTACTTTCTAATTTTTCAAGGAATATTTACTATCTTGACGGTTTTCTATTTCCTACAAGTCCAGGGACGATACTTTAGAAAAAGTAAAAGTACATCTCATGGAAGTGCATATGAAAAATATATACTCGAAAAAGAATTGATTAAAGAAGCCGAAAAGAAAAATGAATCGAAAAAGAAGTTAGTGAAAAGTAATAATCATAAATTGTGAC